AGGGGCCTCCATACTCATTAGCAAGGACATAGCATTTACCCTCACCCACCTAGAGATAGACGAAGGGGGGAGATATGTAATAGTGGTAGGAACATTCAACGATGTGGAATACACGATAACAAACATATATGTTCCAAACCAGGAGCAAAGGAACTTTATACACAAAATCATCAAAAAAGTAGACACGGCACAAAGGGGAATAGGAATCATATGTGGAGACATCAACCACGTAATGGACCCCACCATAGACACCACAATAGCCCCCAACGCTCCAAGAATGAAACCACTCAGGAGACAGAGCAAGGCAATACGCAAACTACTTTACGAAAACCACTACTATGACATATGGAGGGCAACACATGTGGGGGAAAGACAATACACCTTTTTCTCGATGGCACACAATACCTATTCTAGGATAGACGGTATACTGTTAAAAGGCCAACACTTAGAACAGGTTAAAGACTGTTCCATAGAACAGATCACTTGGTCAGATCACGCCCCAGTAGTAGCGACCCTAGCTGACCTATACGAATCCTCTCACAGGAGCCCATGGAGGCTTAACGAGTCCCTCATCGCAGACCCAGAATTCACAAAAACGGTAGAAAAAGAATTAACACACTACTTCATTGAAAACAACACAGAACACATCCCCCATAACACAATATGGCAGGCCCACAAATCGGTGATCAGGGGGATGTGTTCTGTGTTGTTTTCAATGAAGTAGTGTGTTAATTCTTTTTCTACCGTTTTTGTGAATTCTGGGTCTGCGATGAGGGACTCGTTAAGCCTCCATGGGCTCCTGTGAGAAGATTCGTATAGGTCAGCTAGGGTCGCTCTAATAAAGAGAGCAGCCTTCCTAAAAAGAAAAGCACAAAAACAAATGAGAGAGTGGCAAAAAGAACTCCAGGACCTCACAAATCAGAACCAATCTACCCCAACACAAGAACTAAAAACCCGCATCATCGGAATAACACGAGAAATACACAAACAAGCCCTAGAACAGACTGGCCACTACTTATGTAAGCTTAAAGCGACCCATTACTCACAAGGAAACAAGGCAAGCAAACTAGTAGCGCAAGGCCTCAAAGCGACACAAATAAAACACAAGATAGCACACCTCACCACGGAAGCAGGACACAAAGTAACAGCACCCAGGGACATAAGCAACAATTTCGCTAAATATTACACTTCTCTATACAACCTAGCGGACGACCCACACACACATCAACCACAAACACAGGACATAAAAACCTATCTAGACACAATACAACTACCCACCTTCACAACTCAACACCAACAAGCACTAAATGCCACAATAACACAAGAAGAGGTAACAACAGCCATCCTCGGCCTGCCGTCGGGCAAATCCCCAGGCCCGGACGGCTTCGCCAACGGTTACTATAAAAAATTTCATACCATCCTAGCACCGCACCTAACAAACACCTTCAATGAAGCCACCCGCCTCCAAAAACTACCCGCCGAGACACTGCTGGCACACATTATCACACTCCCCAAGCTAGGGAAACCACCCACATGCCCACAAAACTTCTGCCCCATATCCCTATTGAACACAGATGCCAAGATTTACGCGAAAATCTATGCGCAAAGACTGGATTCCTTATTACCACACATTATACACACAGACCAAGTAGGGTTCATCAAAAATAGGCAAGGAGGCGACAACACTAGGAAAGTCATGAATATCTGGGGGGAGAGACCACAGAGCCATAAAAGGACAAGCCCCAATCTCATGCCTGGCGGTGGGCATCCCTTCCCTTGACGCCAAAATGTGGAAGGAAGCGGGCTGCACCACGATCAGCCACTTATATAGAGACAATAGCCTGATACCCTTCCCAGAACTCCAAACCCAATATAACCTGCCCAGCAAGGCACTGTTCCCCTACCTACAAATCAAATCCCTACTCGCAGGAATCAAACTACAACAAGATGAGCCTTTAACAACACATAAGATAACCTCTGCCTGAAAACCTCTGCCTGACAGACAGGCCCCCGAAGAAAATACTCTCAACACTATACACGGCCCTAATGGAGGATCAGGCAGAGACCGAAAAGAGTTTCCAAAAAGCATGGCACACGGAACTGGGGAAAACACTGGGAACAGATGTATGGAAGCGGGCCTTCACAATACATAAGGGAAACACACGGTGCACCACACACCTAGAAACCATTCAAAAGCTACAATACAGATGGTACATGGTGCCAGAAAAATTAACAACAATATACCCCAACACACCCAATATATGCTGGAGGTGTGGCGACACGGAGGGCTCCATGAGCCACATATGGTGGTCATGCACAAAAATTAGGCAATACTGGGGGGAGGTGGGAAAAATTGCAGAAGACATATTAGATAGACCATGGCCTCTAACTATAGAACAAAGCATATTATTCATGCTACCAGCCACACTAACTAAAACTGAGGAAAAGCTTATATTTCACCTGCTCATAGCAGCAGTAACACTCATAGCGCGGGCATGGAAGTCCCCAACAGCGCCTACAAAAGAGGCTCTCCTAGATCAAATCTCCTTAAACTGGAAATATGAGCTGATGGCAAACAAACACTTAGGAATGCGAAAACATTCGGATACAGCAGGGAGGCGATGGCAGGAGTACATCCAAGAACAATAAGCTCACCTTAAAACCACCAAGAGAGAGCGACACCACCAGGAAGGGGGGAGTGAAGGGGAGGGAAGGCCCAACAAGAGAAAACCCACGGCAACCAGCAAACAACAACACCAGAGCAGGGCCACATAACAGAGCAACTAACACGACAGGGCAATCAAAGCAACACAAGTAAGAAGAAACGAGCCCCAAGAGGGCAACACGAGATACAACAGAGTGAAGGGGGGAAAATCACCTGGGAAAAAGAGGGAAGCGAAGGGGGGACGAACTCTGAGGGAACCTATCAATGTACTGTACAAACCCTATGCTGTAACAAAATGTCCCTGCACTATCCCGTTTTATTCTGTACCCTGGCGAGCAGGCGCCAAAAAGCTAACCAATGTGAAACATCAATAAAAAACATATTTTCAAATTGAAAAAAAATAATAATTTGTAGCTATTGGGACACCGCAGCGGACGGTACACGGCCGAAATTTCTTTGCACAAAAGGCAATCCTCAACCTGTACGCGATTGTGCAAAAGGAAGTAATGGCATGTCTGGCACACATTGTTGGGGCAAGGGTCCATCTGACCACTGATACCTGGTCTGCAAAGCATGGTCAGGGCAGGTATATCACCTACACTGTGCATTGGGTAAACCTGCTGACGGCTGCCAAGCATGGAATGCGTGGCTCTGCAGAGGAGTTGGTGACCCCGCCACGACTTGCAGGCAGGCCTGCTGCCACCTCCTCTACTCCTCCTACTCCATCCTCTTCCATAACCTCCTCGGCTGAGTCCTCTTCTGCTGCTGCGTCTTGCTTCACATCAACGGCATCCCCCAGCTCCCCAGGTACTATTCCACGTCCCGGATACGGCAGTGTCACGCCGTCTTGGGGTTGACTTGCCTGAAAGCAGAGAGTCACACCCGACCAGCACTCCTGTCCGCCCTGAACGCACAGGTGGATCAGTGGCTGACTCCGCACCAACTGGAGATCGGCAAAGTGGTTTGTGACAACGGAAGAAATTTTTTGGCGGCATTGCATTTGGGCAAGTTGACACATGTGTCGTGCATGGCACATGTGTGTAATCTGATCGTACAACGCTTTGTGCATAAGTACACAGGCTTACAGGACGTCCTGAAGCAGGCCAGGAAGGTGTGTGGCCATTTCAGGCGTTCCTACCCAGCCATTGCACATTTTTCAGATATCCAGTGGTGAAAAAACATGCCAGTGAGGCGCTTGATTTGCGACAGCCCGACACGTTGGAATTCAACACTCCTAATGTTCGACCGCCTGCTCCAACAAGAAAAAGCCATTAACGAGTATTTGTATGACCGGGGTGCTAGGACAGCCTTTGTGGAGCTGGGAATTTTTTTGCCACGTTACTGGATGCTCATGTGCAATGCCTGTAGGCTCATGCGTCCTTTTGAGGAGGTGACAAACTTAGTCAGTCGCACCGAAGGCACCATCAGCAATTTGTTTTCTTCCTGCGGCAACGCTGGAAGAGGATTGTGAGGAAGTGGAGTCAGAGGACGAATGTGGCTTTGAGGAGGAGGAGGAAGACCAACCACAACAGGCATCCCAGGGTGCTCGTTGTCACCTATCTGGTACCCGTGGTGTTGTACGTGGCTGGGGGGAAGAACATACCTTCAGTGAGATCACTGACGACGAGGAACAGGACATGAGTAGCTCAGCATCCAACCTTGTGCAAATGGGGTCTTTCATGCTGTCGTGCCTGTTGAGGGACCCTCGTATAAAAAGGCTGAAGGAGAATGACCTGTACTGGGTGTCCACGCTACTAGACCCCGGTATAAGCAGAAAGTGCCTGAAATGTTACCGAATTACGGCAAGTCGGAAAGGATGCAGCAGTTCCAAAATCAATTAAAAAGTATGCTTTACACAGCGTATAAGGGTGATGTCACAGCACAATGGGAATCTAACAGGGGAAGAGGTGAAAGTAATCCTCCTCCTCCCACGACCACGCCGGCAAGGACAGGACGCTTTACAGACGTGTTGTTGATGGAGGACATGCGGAGCTTTTTAAGTCCTACGCATCGCCACAGCCCTTCGGGGTCCACCCTCAGAGAACGACTTGACCGACAGGTAGCAGACTACCTCGCCTTAATTGCAGATATCGACACTCACAGACACATACATACACACACACAGACAGATAAATACACACAGACACATACATACATACATACAGACACACATACAGAGACACACACACATACAGTCTGTATGTATGTATCTGTATGTGTGTGTGTCTGTATGTATGCGTCTCTATGCATGTCTGTCTGTGTGTATGTATGTAATTATGTGTCTGTGTGTGTGTCTGTCTGTATGTGTGTATGTGCATGTGTGTGTGTCTGTATGTATGTGTCTGTGTGTGTCTCTGTATGTATGTGTGTCTCTGTATGTGTCTGTATGATACAGACACATACATACAGAGACACACAGACACATACATACAGACAGATACACACACACACACACACACACATACATACAGACATACACACAGACACATACAAAATTCTTAAGTCACTCTCCTGTTTCCAACCTTTTGCCAGAGGGTGACTTCCCTGGGATCCAGTGTGGGCTCAGCCTGATCGGAGTCAGAGTTCCTACTCTGACTCCCTCCTCCTTCCTCCTGCATGGCTCTCTGATAGCTGGGAGGAGTGACGTGTAGTTACTTCCTCCTAGCTATGTCTGACATAATCCATCTCCATCGGGTGGCCCTAACACAGTTGCGTCGCTAGGGGGGCCAGAGGGGGCCATGGCCTCCCCTACATCATTCTGTGCCCCCCCATATGCCGGCAACTTGCTGGCCATGTTCTTAAATTCTATTCCCTTGGACTGTAACAGTCTGGACTCAGCAGTCTGTGTGTGTGTGTGTGTGTGTGTGGACTCAGCAGTCTGTGTGTGTATGTGTCTGTGTGTGTGTGTACTCAGCAGTCTGTGTGTGTGTGTGGACTCAGCAGTCTGTGTGTGTGTCTGTGTATATGGACTCAGCAGTCTGTGTGTCTGTGTGTGTGGACTCAGCAGTCTGTGTGTTTGTGTGTGTGGACTCAGCAGTCTCTGTGTGTGTGTGTGTGTGTAGGTACTCAGCAGTCTATGTGTGTGTGTATGGACTCAGCAGCAGGGCCGCCATCAGGGCATGACAACCATAATGGTTGTCATCGGCCCGGCGGTCCTGGGGGGCCCGAACTACTCTGGCAGTCCGAGCCTCGTCCCTGTACATTAAAGAGGAGGGCCCAGCAGCACACTCTGTCCTCCTTTCCAGCTGCTCTCTGTCTAACTTTCCTGCGCCCTGCGGCTGCCAGAGCGTTGCTGCGCTCCGCACAGCACGCAGGATTGTCTTGTGAGAGTTAGTCAGAGAGGAGCTGGAAAGGAAGACAGTGTGTGCTGCTGGGCCCCCTCTTTAATGTACCATGGCCCGCTCCCTCCACCATGCCACCGGACCACCAGGGAATGCAATCTCCACCCTGGGAATGCGATCTCCGCTCTCCCTGGCATGGTAAGAGCCAGGGAAGGGGGAATAAAATTTAAATAGTCACAAATAAATAAATAAAAAATACTCCCCTCCTCCCTATTTTACACACACACTGCATCCTTACAAGCACACACACTACATTCACTAAACACACTCTGCACTACACACACACTACATTCACTAAACACACTCTGCACTACACACACACACACTACATTCACTAAACACACTCTGCACTACACACACACTACATTCACTAAACACACTCTGCACTACACACACATTACATTCACGAAACACACTCTGCACTCACTACAAACACTACTGTTTGAGCAAATTGAGAAAGCTGCAAATCTGGGTAACACTTTAATTATTGGAGATTTTAATTACCCGGATATAAATTGGGACAGAGGGACTAGTGCCTCAGCAAAGGGAATTAGGTTTTTAAACTTGTTAAATGACACCTTCATGTCACGGTAAATTTGGTAAATTTGATAAATTTTCAAGCTGGACAGAGGTGGCAAGTGGTGTCCCTCAGGGGTCTGTTCTGGGACCCCTTCTATTTAACATGTTTATAAATGATCTTGAAGACCGCATTGAAAGTCATGTTTCAGTGTTTGCAGATGACACCAAACTTTGCAAAACAATACAAGATATTACTTTGCTGCAGAGGGATTTAGATAGACTGGGGGAATGGGCACTCAAATGGCAGATGAAATTTAATGTTGAAAAATGCAAAGTTCTGCACTTCGGCGTAAAGAATACACAAGCAACGTATACCCTTAATGGAAGCGAATTAGGGATAACAACACATGAAAAGGACTTGGGAATTGTTATAGACAACAAACTATGCAACAATGTGCAATGTCAATCAGCAGTGGCCAAGGCCAGTAAGGTATTGTCATGCATGAAAAGGGCATTCATTCTCGGGACAAGAATATAATTTTGCCTCTTTATAAATCACTGGTAAGACCTCATATTGAATATGCTGTGCAATTTTGGGCACCTGTTCTAAAGAAGGATATTATGGCACTAGAAAAAGTGCAGAGGCGGGCTACAAAATTAATAAAAGGAATGGAACATATCGGCTATGAAGAAAGGTTAATAAATTTAAACCTATTTAGTTTAGAAAAACGTCGCCTGAGAGGGGATATGATAACATTATACAAATATATTCGAGGCCAATACAAACCATTGTGTGGAAATCTATTCACAAACCGGACTTTACATAGGACACGAGGACATGAGTTTAGACTGGAAGAAAGAAGATTTCGTCTAAGGCAAAGGAGAGGTTTTTTTACTGTTAGAACAATCAGGATGTGGAATTCTCTGCCTGAAGAAGTGGTTTTATCAGAGTCCATACAGATGTTCAAACGGCTACTAGATGCATACTTGCAAGAACAGAATATTCAAGGATATAATCTTTCAATGTAGGGTAATAACTGCTTGATCCAAGGATAAATCTGACTGCCATTCTGGGGTCAAGAAGGAATTTTTTTCCTAGCTTGTTGCAAAATTGTGCTTCAAACTGGGGTTTTTTGCCTTCTTTTGGATCAACAGCAAAAAACAAATGTGAGGTAGGCTGAACTTGATGGACGCAAGTCTCTTTTCAGCTATGTAACTATGTAACTATGTAATTATGTAACATTCACTAAACACACTTTTCTCCACACAAACACTACATTCACTATAGACACTTTGCACTACACACAGACTACATTCACTAAACACACTCTGCACTACACACACACTACATTCACTAAACACACTCTGCACTACACATACTCACACTACATTCACTAAACACACTCTGCACTCACTACAAACACTACATTCACTAAACACACTTTTCTCCACACAAACACTACATTCACTATAGGCACTTTGCACTATACACACACTACATTCACTAAACACACTCTGCACTACACATACTCACACTACATTCACTATACACTCTCTGCACTCACTACATTCACTAAACACACGTTGCACTCACTACACACTACATTTACTAAACACACTCTGCACTACACACACACTGCATTTACTATACACATGTTGCACTCACTACAAACACACTGCATTTACTAAACACACTTTCCACTCACTACAAACACTACATTCACTACAAACACACTACATTCTCTATACGCACTACATTCACTATTCACACTGTGGCGGAACCAGCCTCGCCACTGGGCATTGGAGAAGACTGATTGCCAGCCTCCTGCCCTGTGACTATGGCCCCATGTTGAAATGCTTGACTTCCCCTGCAAAGACCCGAAAGCCGGGTCATTCGGTACTTTACCTATTTGAACAGTGATACCCCAGATAGCTATGCCATTGAGCCCATTCGTATAACGAAAGACTATGTGAAAGACTTTGGCTCCATGGCAATTCAACTGTATGTATGTGATTTGAGCGCCATTCAGTAATAATGTGCGCTCAGATCTAAGCTATCTGGGGATATGTTGAATGTACCTGTTTTATGCAATAGCTGCACAGTTATATATATTTATCTATTTTATTGTCTTTTGCTACCATACCGTATGTTTGTATTTGGAGTATGCTGATTCTGAAAATGTAATTTTATGTGAATGTGATGCATACTTTTAAAGTTATGAATATTGTGTAAAACTGTGTATTTTCCTGCCTGTGACAATTACAGAGTGTCTGAGTGTATTGTAAGTGTGTATTGGTTGTTTTACAAAACCCTCTGTGTGGTACTAAGGTGTAAGAATGTGTATATAAGAACAATAAATCCACAGCTCTGGCCAGTTCTACTTCACCCTCAATTTGGAGTGCCGTCTCTTATTGGGGGAATCTGCTACAAGGGATTGCTATGCTTGTCATACTCCCTTGCTAAAACACTACTAAGCACTTGTAAGAGCTTGTTCCTGCCTTGCTCTCTGGAGGAGTCTACGGTGGTTATGGTGTCTGCTGCAGTGCTTGGAGTCCTCAGGAAGCGCTAGGAGCATCCTTTAATGGAGGTACCCAGTTGGGGTGCCTGTCGATCCGTTACACACACTACATCCACTACAAAAACACTCACACACCTACATTCACTACACACACACTGTGCATCTAATGCATGCATATAAACATTACATACATTACACAAAACATACAATCTGCATCCACTATACACACTGCATCCATGACACACATACTGCATCCACTATACACACTGCATCCATGACACATACCGCATCCACTACACACATTCTACATCCACTATACACACTGCATCCATGATACACATTCTACATCCACTATACACACACACACTTCATCCTTGTGGGCGGACTTGGGCTGGCCCTGGGGGCCAAGATCTTGAGCTGTGTCAGGGACCCTAAAATTTCTGATGGCAGCCCTGCTCACACTCTGCACTACACACACACTACATTCACTAAACACACTCTGCACTACACACTGTGTGTGTGTGTGTATGGTGTCAGCAGTCTGTGTGTGTGTATGGACTCAGCAGTCTGTGTGTGTATGGACTCAGCAGTCTGTGTGTCTGTGGGTGTATGGACTCAGCAGTCTGTGTATATGTGTGTGTGTGCGTATGTGTGTATGGACTCAGCAGTGTGTATGCGTGTGTGTGTGTGTATGGACTCAGCAATATATATGTGTGTGTATGTACTCTGTGTGTCTGTGTGTGTGTATGGACTCAGCAGTCTGTGTGTCTGTGTGTGTGTGTATGGACTCAGCAGTCTGTATATATGTGTGTGTATGGACCCAGCAGTCTGTGTGTCTGTGTGTATGTATGGATTCAGCAGTCTGTGTGTGTGTGGATATGTGTGTGTGTATGGACTCAGCAATATGTATGTGTGTGTGTGGACTCTGTGTGTCTGTGTGTGTGTATGGACTCAGCAGTCTGTGTGTCTGTGTGTGTGTGTATGGACTCAGCAGTCTGTATATGTGTGTGTGTGTGGACTCAGCACTCTATGTGTGTGTATGGACTCAG